GGGGGCCTCCGGGGGCGGCGGCTCGGGGAGGGCCTCCATGTCCGCCCCGTCCAGCGCCTCCAGGAAGTCGAAGCTGCGGCAGTGGCGCTTGTTGAAGGGCACGGGCGCAGCAGGCCGGGCCATGGAGCGCTCACATGGCGCGCGTTTGGACGAGGGCCCCGGCGCCGCCAGCTTGATGTCCTGGTACACGGTCGACACCAGCAAGTCTGGTGGGTCCGTGCGGGTCATCTTAAAAGAGGTCCCCAGGCTGGCAGCTGCAGCTCATTCGGCCTTGAGGGGCTTTCGCCCTGCGGGGAGACACGGGTCAGAGAGGCCCCTCCGCGGCCCAAGCCCCGCTACCCCCTGCGCTGGACCGACTTACCTGGGGCGCAGTGGGCGGAGCAGCCCTGGCTTCGGGCCTTGGCGGAGGCCGCGGGCACTCGCCCCATGCTGGCGACCGAAGCCCCTGCAGAAGGAACCCAGCTGTTCAGCCACTCAGCCCCCACCCCCATCTTTGTTGGCCACTTTCTAATGGGGTGGGTCAGCTAAAAAGGCGATGCCAGCCCGGCCGGGCGTGGCTCAGCGGTTGAGCATCGACCTAGGATCCAGGAGATCGGGGTTCGATTCCCCGTCAGGGCACATGCCCGAGTTGCGGGCTAGGCAGCCGATCCGTGACTGTCATCGTTGCTGTTTCTCTCTCTCTCCCCCTCCTTTCCTCTCTCGGAAATCAATAAAGATACGTTTTAAAAAAATAAAAAGTAAAAAGGCGATGCCACTGCTGTGTGGGACAGGACCGGGTAGGAAGAGTGGGGGTGTGGTCTCAAGGCTGCCCCTAGTGCCCATGGCTGGAATGGCTGAGCTCATCTGGGGCCTATGGAGACTTTATGGCCGCTGGCTCCATAACCCACTGGTGACAGAAGTGCCCGCCGAGTGCCCGGGGCAGAGCGCGCCCTCCCCTGGCCCTGGCCAGCTCTGCGGGCACTGTCTCCTGCCCCCTCGCTGAGGAGGCTCGGCATAGAACCCCTCCCCCAGCGCAGCCAGGGCCGCTACTCTGGGCAGCTGGATGCTCCAAGCCCCGGCCCCGAGGCCCCAGTGGGCCTGAGGTGGCCCCATCAGGTCCGGGCATGGCCCTTAGGCTGACAGACTGGCACGTCCCACCCTTGACACTCGGTATGGTCCCGGCCATAATAATGTCCCCCAAAGAGCATACCTGGGCCCCAAAGCCCCGGTTCCTTTGCAGAAACCTCTGACTCTAGCTATCTTGGGGTGGTTGAAACCCACCAAGCTCCTTGAGGTTTCATGACAAGTCTGGGAGAGTGACCCCCAGCTTTGCAGCCTGTGCACCACAACCTGGAAACCAGGCTGCGGCTGCAAGACCACGTGTGTGGGGGGTGAGCCAGGGCCCATGCCTGACCCTCTTTCCCTGAGTAGGGCACCTGGCCAGGAGGCTGCCAGCGGGGGAGGCAGTGGGGTGGGTGGGTTACGCTCCACCCCCTTTCTCAGAAGAGGGCTCTCCCAACAGCATCTCAGGCAGGCTCCATGGAAACCTGAGTTTCCCCGCCCCCCCCCCCCCC